ATGCAATTATACGATGCTCCGTACTGTTATCCTAAGGCTCTGCTCATATTGTCACGTGTTATTCAGTAGTTTGATGTACCGGCTGCCCACATTGCACCATCTGACCTCCCCCCCTCCCCCTTCTTCTTCATCAGGGTGTCATGGTCGGTATGGGTCAGAAGGACTCCTACGTCGGCGACGAGGCCCAGAGCAAGAGAGGTATCCTGACTCTGAAGTACCCCATCGAGCACGGCATCATCACCAACTGGGACGACATGGTGAAGATCTGGCACCACACCTTCTACAACGAGCTGAGAGTGGCCCCCGAGGAGCACCCCACCCTGCTCACTGAGGCCCCCCTGAACCCCAAGGCCAACAGGGAGAAGAGGACCCAGATCATTTTTGAGACCTTCAACGCCCCCGCCATGTATGTGGCCATCCAGGCTGTGCTGTCCCTGTACGCTTCCGGTCGTACCACTGGTGAGGCGGTAACACGAGTAGCACTTGTAGAACCACATTCATCCATCACTGTAGAAAATAATAGGATAGACTACTGAACAACTAAGACACATAACTCGATTAATAGTTCATTAATTGATTCATTAATCGTTTCTCATTCACTGACTTTTTTTTATTTTTTTTTTTAAATAATGCCGTTCTGTGTCCTCTCAGGTATTGTGCTGGATGCTGGTGATGGTGTGACCCACAATGTCCCAGTCTATGAGGGTTACGCTCTGCCCCACGCCATCATGCGTCTGGACCTGGCTGGTCGCGATCTGACCGACTACCTGATGAAGATCCTGACAGAGCGTGGCTATTCCTTTGTGACCACCGGTGAGTACAATAAAGAAAAAAAAATCTATTTTATAGATTGTGCATTTATGAATACGTATCATTTACTGATTATATTTATTTACGGAAATTACGAATAATCACCAAGCTGTAATAAACACAATGATTTTTTTTTTCTCATCACGTTTACGCTCAACACATTTGGGTCACAACTTTACCTTTGTAATCATTTCATTTCTAGCTGTTTATGAATTCCAACCAAACTTGTCCAGAGTACTAAGTCATTCATACATGCTCGCTGGCTGTGTAACCGTAACAACAGCGCAACGCTTTTACTTTTGAGACATTTAACGTTAACGTTTGTCGCCGTTTGATGTCCGTGGACGCCGCATAAACAACTCATCGAATCCTCTCCCCACAGCTGAGCGTGAGATCGTGCGCGACATCAAGGAGAAGTTGTGCTATGTGGCTCTGGACTTTGAGAACGAGATGGCCACCGCTGCCTCCTCCTCCTCCCTGGAGAAGAGCTACGAGCTTCCCGACGGTCAGGTCATCACCATCGGTAACGAGAGGTTCCGTTGTCCCGAGACCCTGTTCCAGCCTTCCTTCATTGGTACTTGTCCACATACATGTCTCCCGTTTTATTTGTATTTTTTTTACGTTAAACCCTTTATGCGAACACCACTTCTAATTTGACCCGACCAGGTATGGAGTCTGCTGGTATTCACGAGACCGCTTACAACAGCATCATGAAGTGCGACATTGACATCCGCAAGGATCTGTACGCCAACAATGTGCTGTCCGGTGGTACCACCATGTACCCTGGTATTGCTGACCGTATGCAGAAGGAAATCACTGCCCTGGCCCCCAGCACCATGAAGATCAAGGTACTTAAAACACAGGAGCTTTTATAAAATATGAGCAAATGTTTTCCAAAGAGGAAAAAAAACATGTTATGTTCTAATACACACTCTCTCTCTCTCTCTCTCTCTCTCTCTCCCTAAAGATCATTGCTCCTCCTGAGAGGAAGTACTCCGTCTGGATCGGTGGCTCCATCCTGGCTTCCCTGTCCACCTTCCAGCAGATGTGGATTTCCAAGCAGGAGTACGATGAGGCAGGCCCCAGCATTGTCCACAGGAAGTGCTTCTAAATCTGCGGTCTCCTGCAGCTTTTCCACCGACATCTCCATCGCCAGCTATATGGAGATCGAGCAAAGAGGAGGAACAACCTTTGCTGCACAGCAACATTCTGCTGCTGTCAATAGACTGTCTGCACTGTTGACATACATGTGCATCTTAAAAATCCCTTTAAATGTGCATATTTTTTTGCAGCTGACTGTTGTTTGTGTTGCTAAGCTCTGTAAAAAAAACCACCACTGAACCATGCATCCAACCCCCCACCCCTCAAAAAAATAATAAAAAAAAAAAGCATGTTATGTTCATCAATCTTCTAATACACACACACACTCTCTCTCGCTCTCTCCCTAAAGATCATTGCTCCTCCTGAGAGGAAGTACTCCGTCTGGATCGGTGGCTCCATCCTGGCTTCCCTGTCCACCTTCCAGCAGATGTGGATTTCCAAGCAGGAGTACGATGAGGCAGGCCCCAGCATTGTCCACAGGAAGTGCTTCTAAATCTGCGGTCTCCTGCAGCTTTTCCACCGACATCTCCATCGCCAGCTATATGGAGATCGAGCAAAGAGGAGGAACAACCTTTGCTGCACAGCAACATTCTGCTGCTGTCAATAGACTGTCTGCACTGTTGACATACATGTGCATCTTAAAAATCCCTTTAAATGTGCATATTTTTTTGCAGCTGACTGTTGTTTGTGTTGCTAAGCTCTGTAAAAAAAACCACCACTGAACCATGCATCCAACCCCCCACCCCTCAAAAAAATAATAAAATATAACATGTTGCCCAACACGTGAATGTAAGTGTACATACATATGAATAATTTATTAAAGTCCATTATTTGGTATTTCAGGACTTTTTGACTTTTTTTTGAGAAAAAAAAATTAGTTGGAGAGGATGAATAACCAGAGAGCCCAGTCCAGTACC